TGTGGTAATGGTGAGGGAAAAGCTGACAGCCAGCATATTGCCCTCTAAGGTATATGCTTTGTTTTCTTGTTTTGTAGTCTTCATGCATATATGGTGTCGTCATTTTTCATTTCATTACTTAAATTTCTTGTGGTAATAATTCATGATTTATAATAATTCATTTTTTGGTGAAGTAAGCCTATTACTGACATAGAATGACAGAGTGCTTGGTTTGTGTTTTTGAGAAAGAAATGCACATTTAGGAACCTAATGGAAAGCCATCACCCTCTTGTGTTTAAGAGGTTAGTTGAGTAACTTTCCTGCTATTTGAGCATATGCCACTAGCTGTTTCCGCAAATATCTGTTACTGAATGATGTGATCATCGTTCAGCACTGCATGTTCCATGTTATCCAGACTAATGTGTTAACATTTTTAGCGTTTTGGGTGAATGGTTTCCTCATCAAACCAAAATGAGCTTTTGTGTGAGTTCTGTTGTTCTGGTGTTAGCAAACAGAATGCCTTTTAATGAAAATCATTGGAAAGCATGCATGCATATTGCAGGAATGTAGAATATTTTTGAAGTTTATAAAATACTTCAAGTAACCCTACAGGTGCTCTTAAAGATAATTTTTTGGAAAGGAGAAAGGTTACATATAAGAAATTATTCTGTATATTAACGTTTCAGTTATTTGGTAATAAAAGCATGTGAGTTCTGTGGACTTGTATGCTTAGTAGTGGTTTTTTGAAACCAAGTACGTGCAAAATATTTTGTATTATATTCTGCGATTCATTAATCTGTGCTGCACAGTATTTTAATGTGCTATGTATAAGAAAAAAATTAGTCGTCTTAACATGAAAAGCATCTAGTTCTGCACATTATTTCATAACTAAAAAGGACTATAACAGCTACCTTCCTGAGATTCTTTTCTACAAAACTGTTTTGTAGTTGTGCAAAAAAATGTGAACAGAACAGAATAAATTTACTACTACTTTCCTGTGTCGTCTTCTAATTTTTTGTCAATTTGTAGCTACTGCAACTATAACAACTGACATAATGGGCAAGGTTCTTAATGAGAATTTTTGCTGCTTTCTTTTTGGTTTCTCATGGTGTCAGGTTTTTGGGTGCTGGTTTCTTCCCCCAGTTGAATTTAGTGTTATAAATGTGCTTATTTAGTTTCATATTAATGATATTGTTAGATGATACTAGAGCCTAGTCCATTAATGCTATATATGCTCTATGTTAATTTATTTTAGCTTTCACCTGTTTTAACCAGTGAAGTGCACAGTGTCCGGGCAGGACGGCATCTGGCTACGAAACTGAATGTTTTGGTACAACAGCACTTTGATCTGGCTTCAACCACAATAACTAACATTCCTATGAAGGTAATATTGTGTCTGTAGCTTTGTGATAACTAGCTTGCATCACTTCAAAATTTGTTTGAAAACTTTTAGTGTTTATTTTAATTGAATTTTTACATTGTTTTTCTCTCCATATCATATTTTCTGTTTTGTTTTGTTGTTTTTTTTTTTTATTAGCCCACATTCAATGTCTGTGACCAGGTCAGTAAAAATAAAGAAGGGGGAAAAAAAAAGTGAAGAAGGATCACAGAACAAAATGTTGTATTGCTGAATCTCAGATTTTTGATGTAGCAATACAAGTGTTATTTCAGTTCTCTTTGTATTATTTTATATAAATACAATATTGTTTACCTCAGATTACTTTGTCTGTGATTCTTTTGTCTTTTTCTAGTTGTGTTTAGATATTCTTGACCCTTGTGCATTATAGTGGCATAGTGAGTCTTTTTTCCTCCGTTTCATTATCATACCCACCCAGCATAAAGGTGTTTGTAACTAATAGCTTATTTTTCACTAAAGGTTTTCCAGTAGGTTTTCCACTTCGAAAATCCCTAGGCCAGAAAAAGGAGGACAGGGGATATATCTAGTTAAGAAAGATACTAAATTTAACGTTGTCTGTTCAAAGTCGTGTATGTACCTATTTTAAAATATTTTTTAATATCACTCACTGGGAGGAAAATCAGTGCAACTAAGAATTTCAGGTATTATTAAGTCTACAGTAATTTTCTGGTTGGGCAGCAAGAGACAATTGAAAAACAGGTGTCCGTATTCAAACAAACAAAAAGGGCAGGGGCAGATAAACTTTCCTAATTAAAAAAAAATCATCAAGTTCCAATACTGTGAATCATTACTTGTATCTCTGAAGCTAGCAATATTGGATGGATTTTATACGTAAAAACGTGGAATTAGAAATTATTTTCACAGCTTCAATGACACTTTGACATGGGTCATGGCATAAATTTTAAGTTTGCAAATACCTTGTCTGTAACTTTCTGACCTGTGTGCTGCTGGTATGCCTCTCCCTTCTGCCTTTGTCCTCATAGTAAATAGATTATGTTGGGTTCTCTGTGTTTTTTTCTTTTTTTTTTTCTTTAAACTTGGAATAAATTACCAAGGTTACTGTTCTGTTTTCGCTAATCCTCTGCAGCTGTTTAAAGATGCAGTTTCCTCTTTACAAACATCTGGTTTTTAATTATGAATTTGCAGCTGCAAGTACACTTTTTATATATCTTAAGTGCAAGAGATTGGCAATTACTTCTCATAACTAAAAATCTCAAGAATCCAAACAAAAAAATACACACAGAACTTATTATCAATCTATTCTGCAGTGACTATTTCTTGCTACTAAGTAAGTTGTAACTGCTGGTGGTATTCAATATGTTGTAGGCTTCCTTAGCTTTACTAATTAAAGCAAAAGCAGTTAAGCCTGTTTTTTACCTATATTTTATACTATGCACACTTTAATGACATTTGTATAAAGAGGAAGCCATAAGGTATCAAAAAAGGAAAAAAAGCTGAAAAGCAGATAGCTGCATCTTTAAAGAGGTCAGAGAGCAAACAGTTTCCTCAGCATTGCAATCCTGTTGTTGTCTGATGCACTTTGTAGACTTTTTGTTTTCTTCTGGAGTGAAAGGTAAATGTAGAATCATTAATTCATAAAACCAGTGTCTTCTAGCTAAAATAAATGATATCTATTCTTTCTACCTCTCTCTTTTAAAGGAAGAACAACATGCTAACACATCAGCCAACTATGATGTGGAGCTTCTTCATCACAAGGAGGCACACGTTGACTTTTTAAAGAGTGGTAAGTAGAAATAGTCTTCTAAAAGTGGCTGTTGATCAGCCTGCTAGAAGTATTCACAAAGAAAGATTGTGAGCTATAAATTGATCTAAATTTCAGGCAAGATTAGCGTGTTTTCAGTTATTCCTTACAGCCCAAGAACTTGACTTGTAATGTTGGCATTGGAGTTTTGCTCGCTACTGGCTTATTTTAATATAGAAATAAGGAGGTAACAATGAAAAAAACAGGTCAAATTCATCAGACAAGGTTTCACATTTGTTCAGGATATTTGTGTAGGATTTGAGGGGCATGTCAACTTCCCACTGTGCTATGAAAAGTAGATGAGAACAGATGTGCTGTGATTTTACAAAAGAAAGTATCTCTTGTGGGTAGCAATTCATTGCACAATTGAGCTTTACTCTGTGTGTTAAGTAATAATAATTGACATAAATTACATCCCATAGACCTGTGTATGACAGTAATTGCTTTGGAAAATAAAATAGTTATTAGACTTTTGAGCTTTGTCGTTGTATTTGAAACGCCTAGAATCCTTTATGAATTGGTATTATTACCTAGTATTCTTCTGAGGTGAATTTTTAATAACCATTCTTATTTGTGGTTGGAAAAACAACAGTGAGCTTTATGCAAAACTATTTTGTTCAGGAATTAGTGTTTGATGTAAAATTTTGTTAATAAGTCAGGCTAAAAATTCTGTATTAGCAAAATTAAAAGCAAAGTCAAGCAGTGAAAAAGCCCTCAGCCTGTGCCAGTGTGTTGTGCAATACTTAGACTGTATGCCTTTTCAGTGCTGAAGTCTTATTTGAAGCTTTTAAATGCTTGTATACACTTTGTTTTGTCTTCTTACTGCATTGATTGTAACTTCTGTTGTATGATTCAGTACCCTTTAAAAGCTTAGTCTGATTCACTGTGTGTGTAGAATACATATGGAGTGTTAGAGACTGAGGAATAACAGGATATTAAAGTAATGAATTCAGACTCACCTGAACTTGTGTTACCATGTTGAAAGAGTAGAACTTTATTATAAGAGCTCAGAAAGAGTTTTGTAATACCTATTGGTTCAAGGAGTAAGTCTGTCAGTAAAAGCCAAAAGCAAACTCTGACTGCAGTTCCTCTTCAATTTTTTTTTTTCCAATATTTTCAAATATTTTCTTCTTGGATCCTGTAAATTTTGGTTTTTCTTATTTAAAAAAAAAATATTTCAACTGTAATAGCTCTGATACTAGGAAAGTGGGAAGGATTTCTGTGAAACGTTGCTAGAGAATTTTTAGATGAAATAAGTTTGGCCTTTAGGTATTCTGAGAGACTTTCTAAAATTATTCCAGTTATTTTAATTTAAGTGAAAAAATTCAATGTTCGCAAGTTACAAGCATGATTAATAAGCAAATAAATCTTTGAGTATATGTCTTTGATACAAAACTAAACTTCTTTTGTGAAAGATTATACTAAACTCTAACATATTACATACAATGTTGCATGCTGATATATGTGTCCAATTCCTCCCAATTACTGTGGATTCAAGCATATTGGGTGACTGCTATTGTAATTCTGAAACATCATGCAAAACTCAGTTAATTCCCTCCTGAGATGATGGGTGTCAAAGACCATGGAGAATTGGAAAACTCACTAGTAGAAACACAGTTTAATGTATTAAAGAGTATCGATAATACCTGTTTTAATGCCTTCAGGTGATTTTGGCCAGACCAGTTATCAGTGAGACATTTTAATGATAAAACATCTATGGGCAGTAAATGCGTTGAAAGTTGTTCAGATTGAATCTGACCTAGCAAAGATACTGGATGATGAGACCAAATATTTCTTTCCTCAAAAAGCCCAACTTGTCAAATGTGCCTTTAGATCAGTTTCAGTTTTGATGTTGGAATAGAATATAAACAAGAAATGATCAGCTCTAACATTTGTTAAGGATTCTGATTTCTGTGTGGAAAATTTAAAAATATATTGTCTTTAAGTCCTAGGCATTTTAAAGAAAAAAATTGGCTGTTATACATAAAGTGAAACATATCTATAGTTTTCTAAATCTTGACTCAAACCTATGTATCATACTCTGGAGCTGCACTATTTTGTTTACTGAATTAGTTTTTAAAATATATTCAACAGCTGCTGATAATAAGAATATTTTTTAAACTGTCACAACTAATAACTTTTTTGTTTGTTTAGATTATATATCTGACTTGTTTTAAAATTAGATTACGTTTTGTATATTTTGTACCTTAAAAGTTTAGAAGTTTTTTTTTGCAATAAAGGAAATATGGTTAATCATGTTATGACACACTTTTTCTGGCTTTATTTTGCAGGTGATAACCATATAGGTGGCAACAGCAGAGAAGGCACATTTAAAGAAACTGTAACATTAAAATGGTGTACTCCTCGAACAAATAGTGTGGGTAGGTAACATGGTATCTTACAAAACTGATATTCTAGATTGTATTGAAAACTGCTCTCTCTGTACACTGATAAGAATTTGAACAAGGAGTTAATTTGCTTCTTGTTAATGCTGGTTTTACCTTTTGCTCTATAAACTGTGCTGACTGCACCCTGCTTTACTAATGGTCATATGATGCTTTTCTGGTCTTGACTAATCAGTGGTTTGTGTTAAGAGATGAGAGGGGTAGTAATGTGTTTCTTGGCAGCTTTTTTTTCAATCTCCTCTCAAGTATCATTAAGTTGTTGCTTGACTACAGTGTTCAGTAATTATTTGCCCCTCTCACAGGACTGAGTATACCTTCTCAGTTCCACAGTGGTGTGTTTGTTTCTTTTAACATAGCAGCTTTGAGACATTAAGTCCTGTTTGGTTTTAAGTCTTGTTTCGGAGGAAAAACAAAATCAAAGTACTATCTCTAGTGTGGTCTTTTGAGTGCTAAGTAAAAAGCTTTGTAAGGAAATTAAATGTATTTAGTGATACTGTAAGTAGACTAGTCCCTCTATATTCACTTTCAGACCTGATTAAGGGAGAAATCTCTATCCAAATCTGAGTAAAGGAGAGAAGGACAGGAAAGATTTGGGGTAACAGAGGAGCCACCTGGCCATTCAGCTCATGTAGACTATCAGCAAGATTGTAGTATACCAGGTTGGAAGGAACCACAAGGATCACCTAGTCCAACCTGTCAAGGTAAAAGTATAGTTTAAATGAGATGAGTCAGCACCCTGTCAAGCTGACCATAAATTGAACAATGTAGGGGAATTCACCACTTCCTCTGGGAGATTGTTCCAATGTCTGATTGATCTCATGGTAAAAGAATTTCTTCCGGAGTTCACTTGGAATCTCTCCAGAATCTTTTTTTAATGTTAAAGATATGTTGACTCTTTGAACCAGCAGGTCAAAAACATAGGTAGGAGAAATAAGAGGGGGTTGACACTACAGTGAAATAATTCAAGAGATAAAGAGCAGGAGGTCCTGCTGGAAATAGGGCTTGAAAATGTATTAGGCTCTTAGAGCTGAGGGTACTGGAACGATTGCAGGCAGAAGGTGAAAGGAGCAGACTCTTAGATGAAGAGACAGCTTGACCTTTTAGTTCTGCTGATTGTGAAATAGACTTCTCCCCTTCCTTTATTTTATTTTGTAGGATGTTTTTGTTGTATGTGGATCTACAGTCTCAACTTTTCTACTCATTTATTTTTCAGAATTACACTATTGCACTGGAGCATACAGAATTTCACCAGTAGATGTAAATAGCAGACCTTCTTCATGCCTTACTAACTTTCTCCTTAATGGTAAATTTGCGTCCTTGGTTAATTATTTCCTGTTTTAATTGTTAGTATTGTGAAAAGAGCACTTAGCACGTTTTGGTATAGCAACAAATGTCTATATACTGTAAAAATCTCAAGTTAAAAATCTCAAGTTAATTTTAACATGCCATATAAATAAGAGAACAAAGTTGTTAAATGTAGTCAAAGGCAAACTTGAGTACAGAATTGTTTTGAAACTTGAAGGTGGGAGGAAAGATGTAAAGAAGGAGCAAGTATTGAATCCTGAATCCAAATGTATTAGCGGCTTCTGTCTATGCCTGATTTTTAGCAGATGCTTGGCAGCGGTAGAAAACTCTTTTAACTGGGTTATGAGCAACTAAGTATGTTAGTCCATTGAAGCAATGTATACTGGGATCAGTCAAAAAAAAGTAGGTTAGATTTAGTTATCTTTTACTTACCTGCAAGAGCTTGCCCATTGCCATGGCTGTTCTTGCTATAAGAGGTCGTCATTGAAACATGTTCAAAAGGTGAGCCAAAATTTCTTCCAAACTAGTATGTAGTCAATGTTAATTACATGTGGGATTTCTGTAAAAGTTTGCAAACAAAATTGCATTACAAACATCCTTTTAATGGAATGTTTTCTTCAATCAAGTAATTTGAATGTCTAAATAAACATACACTATTTTTTAAAATGCTACAGTTTTATGTATTTTTCTCTTAAGACTCTATACGGAAAGAGTAGTTTGAGTAATAAAAATGGTTAGAACCAAAATTAATAGTGTATGTCAGATTACCACTCTTCTGCTCTTCTGTTTTTGCTTCCTCATAACAACTAATTTATTTGGAGAATGCACCCTTTTATGCTTAGTGTATTTTACTAGAGATAAGACAAAGGCAGTTTTATTTTTCTGTCTGAAAACAGTATCCATTTTAAGCATTAAAAATAGCATCAATTGATACCTGTATACATGAGTAGGGTATTTTGTTGTTTTTTTGAAGTTGCTTTTAATGAGAGAGTTTGCTGGGGGAAAATAAGTTTAATAAATTATGTAATCTGTAATAATTAGAAATAGCAAACTGACCTTACACAATATGCCATTTTAATGTGTCCCAAATATGTATTTTTCCTAAGAATGATGTCCTACAGAGAAAGTCATTGGTTGATCCAGGAGAAAGAGGCTTTTTGATCTTTCTGTGTAAAATTTAGGAGCATATGACACTATGTACTGTGTAAAGACAGAGTAAATACTCAACTGAGACAGCTGTTTCTCGTTTAGCGAGGTGAAAACACAACTTTAATGGATTCAGTGTCTTAGTGGCTAGGTACAAACTTGCATTGTGTATATGGAGTTTTTATGAAATTTAAAATTGCAGCACACATTAACTAGTGGAACTGATCTGATTTTCAATAGGTCGTTCTGTTTTGTTGGAACAGCCACGCAAGTCTGGCTCCAAAGTAATTAGTCACATGCTCAGCAGCCATGGAGGAGAAATTTTTCTGCATGTATTAAGCAGCTCGAGATCAATTCTAGAAGATCCCCCATCAATTAGTGAAGGGTGTGGTGGAAGAGTCACTGACTACCGGATTACAGTAAGAATAATTCCTTTTTGTGGTTTTTTTCCTTTTTTATTTAAGTTGTTGCTTATCTCAGATGGCAAGAAATGTGGTGCAATATGTGCGTAAAGGAAGTGTCGGTATGCTTTTCGGGAGAGCTGGAGTGGATTACATGGTCAAACTGTTTTCTTTGTGCTACTGATGCATATCTAGTACAAAGTAGTACATCTGCTTATTGTTATACTTGCTCCATAGAACCTTTTCCATGTCACGGAAATACTTGTCTCCTGGTGAACTATGAGTATTTAAAGTTTGTTCTGATTCTAGAATAAATCTTTTCTTGGCAAGCTTTTTTTGTGAGCTGGATACACATAAGACTATATCCTGCCTGTTGTCAGAAGAATAGATTGCACGTGAACTGTTTGTACATAAATAGAAAATATGAAGTTGTCAGCTTTGAACCCTGGATATGGAGCAGACAATCATCTGGCATTCATTTTGGGGTTTTTTTTGCTTTATTTTTGTCAAGACATCCTTTGTATCTGTTGTAAACAAGCAAAAGTGGTTTCCAGAAAAACGTAACGGAAATCTTACCATACATGAACTACCTTGCAGATCTAGAAGGCCTCCACATCAAAAACCTTGCATCACTTTTTAAGTCTTATTTTTATAGAACTATTTTTGCGTTCACCCTGAATAACGTACATCTGAAAGCTCAGGGTTTTAGGGTCAAATGTAGCGGTGGGGTTGGTACACGGTTAATGATAAGACTATGCTGTTTCACCCGTTCAGTGAAAGATACTTTGTTAGAGAACTGCCTAATTGTGTCTTGTTTGGTTATCATTAGGATTTTGGTGAATTTATGAGGGAAAACCGATTAACTCCTTTTCTAGAGCCCAGATATAAGATCGATGGAAGTCTGGAAATTCCATTGGAACGTGCAAAAGATCAGTTAGAGAAACATACTCGTTACTGGCCTATGATTATTTCTCAGACTACCATCTTCAACATGCAAGCTGTAAGTAACCTGGGGGTTGTAACTTTCTGTTTTGTTCTAGATTAAGTTTCACCTTGCTGCTTGATGAAATATTAGCTCTATGATAAATAACTCACCACAAAGTCAGTTTATTTTCAGCTTTATTTTCACTTCAGTCTGTACTTAACTTCAATAGATTATTGGAATCCCATCTAAATAGGGTGGAATATTTGAATCTGACAGCTACATTGCTGTTGGGTAAAGAAAATGTGTATTTGCTTATACCTGCTCAGAGTTACTACTAAATTGAGGATAAGAGGGGGTGATTTTATTGTGTGTTGTTCCATTGCCTTTGATTTTTTTCTTCTTCCTGTTTCTCTCCTGCAACATACCCAGATTTTTTTATTGTTGACTTTTCTGTCTTACAGGTAGTGCCATTAGCCAGTGTGATTGTAAAAGAAGCAATGACTGATGAGGATGTTCTGAATTGTCAAAAAACAATATACAATTTGGTAGACATGGAAAGGAAAAATGATCCGCTGCCAATTTCAACAGTCGGTACCAGAGGAAAGGGTCCAAAAAGGTTACATGCATATCTTCTTGTTGGTGCTGGAATTCTGTCAGAAATATTGTAGTGACATTGTTTTTGTATGAGATTTTTAAAATTTGGGCAAAGTAAACTGAATTTAATTTATGTAGTAAACTAAATGCTGTGTGTACGCAAAGCAAATGCTGTAAATACTTCGCCTGCATCATTCAGGGGCTATCACAGTACTGATATTGCTGTATGTTAGGTAAAAAAACCAAAACCTACACCATTATATTAGTTGTGAGTATGTTAAAAAATATGAAAGCAAAGATAGTAATCAAGAAGGGGAAGAGATTGACACAAGCTGGGACGGAAAAAATTTCAAATTAAGAAAAAGGAAAACTTAAGCATATTATAAACAAATGATGCTTTGACATTAGGTTACATTAGAAAAGTTAAATTCTTTTGAAAAAGTTATTTAAAATATGGGCTGTTTATTCAAAACAAGCATAGAATATCGTGATATCTCAGTCATTGTGATGTGTGTGTTGTATTTCCAAGAACTGGCTGAAAAGAAATTCAGCTATGGAAGATTTGTCCACATGACTGGAAATTATTTACAGTAGCATGGTACAATTCTTTCTATTTTTTTTTATTCAAAGAATTAAATAGTAACTAATTTGCATGCCAGTACATGAATGGCTCTCTGCATATCCTGACATTGCATAGTTAGCAAACACCTGAGAGGATTCAGAAGCAAGACTCTGTGGAATTTAGGAATTTTCCTTCAGTGGACATAGTCTATTACAATTTAAACTTAACTCTGGATGTTAATTGGGAAATGATACATGCAGTGTGACTTCAGGTTTCAAGTATAACGATAAGGGGTAGTTCCAGGTGGCTAGACCTCCAGTACATGAGGACAGAGAATCTGTTTGGAATTATTTTTGGTTTTGCTTTGGGGTTGTTTTGTTTGGTTTTTCTTAAGGTCTGGTTTTTAACATTAATTTGTTCAATGGTTTAATGATTTAGGTAATCCTGTATGTAATATCTCTTTTTCTGGCCTTGCTTAGAGATGAACAGTACCGGATTATGTGGAACGAATTGGAGACCCTGGTACGAGCACACATAAACAACTCAGATAAACACCAGCGAGTCTTAGAATGTTTGATGGCTTGCAGAAGCAAACCTCCAGAAGAAGAGGAGCGCAAGAAACGAGGTAGAAAGAGAGAAGACAAAGAAGACAAGTCAGAGAAGTTGGGCAAAGACTATGAATCAGATAAGCCATGGCAAGAATCAGAAAGGTAAATTTTCTGAAGTGAAATGAAACTGTAACATAATCATTTTTGTCCTGCCCTGCTTCAAAAGGGAGAGGGATTCTGGGGAAACAGTTGCAGGGTTTAATTTGATGTATTCATGCTTGTAACCTTGGCTTACTACCAGTGAGTGTGGATCGCAGGTTTTTTTTAGATCAGTCATTGTTACCAAGCTTGGGAAATAGGCGTCTTATTATGGTGCCTGCTTATCAGACTTTTCAAATTGTTGTGCTGAGGGACATGGTGTAGTGGTGGACTTAGGGTTGGTTTGATGGTTGTACCTGATTATCTTAAAGGTCTTTTCCAACCAAAACCATTCTGCGATTCTGAGTGAACGTATTTCACAAGCAGTATGGTTCTTGGAGAAGTTGTTGACCACTGAGCAGGGACTTTGCAGCTTGAGGAGTCACTGGTTTTATCATAACCACAGCACTTACTAGACATTAAACTGCTTTATAGAAATGTAAAGCATAAATGAAAACTTGGGACAAGCAGTTATTTTCTCTTGAGCTTTAGATAGTTTAGTGTTCAGGTAGATAAACAATCCAGATTGGTTTGGTTCTTCTCATTAGTTGAATGTCAGGATTGATTGTCTGTACACCTACTGTTTATAATTCATGTTGTTATTGTAACTTGACTTAAGTGGTAAGCACCTGTCAGTCTCTTCTGTTTTCCATCATTAAACTAGTGTTCTAAAGAGATCAAAACCCACTTGTGCCAGTTAGCTGAATTTGCATGTTTTGTGCACCCTATGGTCATTTAGTGTAGGAGAACTTTTCAGCTGGATTATTGTCACCATGCCGATGATCTTTCACGCCTTTCTGTGTATGATCAAATCCTTTTGATCAATACAATTGTTTTTACTTTCACATGTGGAACAAAAAAATGAGACTGAGATAATGGGGAATTGTTATAGAATAGGTCTGAAATAATGTAGAAATGATAATAGTAAATTACGTGTTATATATTTGCTGTTACTTGGCCTTTCCTTCAAAATTCAGAATGAACAACTGTCTCAGCAGCTACAATATAAATACTGCTAACTAACTGAAGTGAAATTATATTTTAAGATCTTTCCACTTACTTAAGGCTTTATCCAGAGGATTATTTTTCTAGTCTTCCCTATTGTTTTTCACTTCATCCAAGGAGTCGAAAGAAATTTTCTTGTAATGTGGGTTGTGTATAACTTTGAGGAGCACAGAATGGTATCATGAATCATATGTGCTGCTCTAGCATATTTTCCTTCACTGTTTTTCTTCCCTCTCGAAAAGGTTAAAAGGTCTGTTGGATCGTGAGAAAGAAGAACTAGCAGAAGCTGAAGTTATCAAAGATTCCCCTGATTCTCCTGAGCCACCCAACAAAAAGCCTCTTATTACAATGGATGAAATGCCCACAGTTGAAAAGGCGAAAGGTAAACCACAAGAATTGCAACATTATTTCTTTTGGAGATGGAAGTTGTTTTTTCAGTCTATTTTCTGAAGTAGTGAGATGAGTCGTCTTGGAGTTAAAGCTAAGTCAGTGGGGATAATTTTTAATTAAACACTCAACATTGAGAAATTCTTGATAAATATTTTAATCTCAACTGGTCTGTGTAAAAAGGTATCTAGATACTGTGTGGGTCTACTGATAGGCACTTGGGTAGACAGAGGCTTGAACAAATTTCTACTGGTGCTATTTGAGCCTACTTTATGTCAAAATGCTATTAAGGACACGTATCAGAAATCACCGTTCCCCTGCTGACTAATAAATGTAAACATGCCTGAGCAGTATAGTTGGCAGAATGGGTAGTTCTCACTGATGACTTTTCCTTGGTGAGAGCTGTTATCATCTGTCAAAGTGCCTGAGCTGATGTTCAGATGCTGCATTTGAAGCAAAGTCAATCTCATGAAGCAACTACTCGGCTCTTATCACTGCATATTTTGTATTTATTTAGCCTCTATTATAAGAGTGTTTAATACTAGTGGGTTTAGTATGTTGTATCACTGTAATCTGCAATTTCTTCTAAGCCTTTATAATGATGTAATGTTTAAGAATTCAGGAGTTAAATCACTTAGACTCTCTGCTTGCAATTTTAGGACCGATGTCCTTGCTGTCTTTATGGAGCAACAGGATTAATACTGCCAACTCTAGGAAACACCAGGAATTTATTGGTCGTTTGAACTCTGTCAACAATAAAGCTGAGCTATATCAACATCTGAAAGAAGAAAATGGGTTTGTATCAGTAAATACATCACTATGATTATCTTAGCAGTAGTCAATATGCAGTATGAAGCAATACTTTAGTTACATCATTAAAAAGACTCCATACCCTTTTGAGGATTAAAATGCATAAATACATTCCTTTTTGTCTTAGTATTGATGGAGAACTATAGTAGTGTTTGCTTTTCAGTCATTAGCACCTGTGCTCAGCAAATCAAATGCTGATAGGTGGTCTTCCCTGTGCCTTAGTGATTGTCCTTCAGCGGGAACTCTTAAACCTGAGGGGGTTAAATGGTAGATAAGGTGAGATTTCTTGTGCCAGTCTGTTGCTTGCTTTAGCTTCTAAAGGAATGGCTTAATAAAAAAATATTGTTGATAATAGGGTAGTCGAATCTTGTGCTGTGCTGTAATGAAGTTGACAGTAGTTCATGTTCTACCAAAAAATACTGAAAAACCAAACCAGCCTCCTCTTAAGTAACTAGGATGGTAGTAGTCAATAATCAGTGTAAGAAGAGTGAAAACGAAGACCTTGAAACAAACTGCTAAAGCTTACATTTTAGAAATAGATTATCGTCACATAAATATGGGCTTTTGTCTGTTGATGAGGTTGATAGTGGATAGCTTTTTGTGGTTGCTGGAAAGTTTCTTTGTGGAAACCTTTCCTTTATGTACTGGTTGCTGCTTAAAGAAGTATTAAAAGGAGATAAGACTGTATGTTGGGGCCAGGGAGAGACAGGATGGGTTAGTGAATTGAAAAATACTTACTAAAAAATGTCTGATATTTTTTTTTTCTTAATCTGCTGATTGTATTCCCAATAACAAGCCTTACCAATTGTTGTCTTGCATTTCAGAATGGAAACAACGGAAAATGGAAAAACAGGCCGGCAGTGATGATTAATTTTGTTTCTCTGGACAAAACTTGGCCAAATTGCAAAAATACTTAATGCTGGAATTGATATTGGTACCATTTCAGTACAATTGTATAGCTCTGTTTTGATTGGGTTTCACAGTTTTCTATTCTTATTTTTGCTATGAAATATGAAATGCGCATATCACATTAATGAATAGTGTGCAAACAGGAGCTGTCCTGAAGTATTTTACAGTCATATTTCCAGGATGAAGAAAACCTATGCTGCCATGGACTAAATCAAGTAGTCAAACATGTCAGAGTTTGAAGTCCTTTTCCAAAAGTATTGTTTAATATTTCAAAATCAGCGATGACTGTTTGGAGAGGAAAAAAAAAAGTAATTGATAATATTGTTAATGTTGGTTCATGAATACTTTTATTTATATGAAACTTCCTCAGGAGTCCAGAATTACGGAAAAGACTGCACACTGAGTACCTCGTCACTGAGCTGAGAAAATACCAGTCTTGGTTTTAAACTAAGGGGTGGGAGGGTGAGTGGTTTTACAGGTAAAAGTTGTTGGTTTGAGAACTTTTAAAAAATGACTAGAAATTATCTTTAGAAAGCAAAGCCTTTCAGGTTGTTGTGCTGGAGTTAAGTCTTTGTAAGCAAAAGTAAAATAAAATTTTTGCTAATCATTAAATTATTTTTTAATGAAATACACGCTTTAAGACACCTGGTTTTAGGTCTAAGCTTTTTGAATCTCGTCGGGAGACTCTGAATATTAATGGCTTTGAAATGACAAAGTAGATGATCTGTCTTCAGTTTCTTTGAGTAGAGCCTCTTTTTCTCTTAATGAAGAGTAGAATTCTCAAACAGGAAAACTCTCACCCAAAGTCTGTGATCTAATCCCTTGTAAGGTTTTGGGTTGGCTTTCAAATGGGTCAGTGTGAGTGGGCTAAGGAAAGATGAAAGCTCTCCAAGTATATCACCCTTGCTCTGATCTGCATCTGTTGCCTTATTCTAGCTTGCATAAGCAACTGAAGGTCTCTCAGATTTGATAAGTTAGTTTTAAGTTCATTTAAGACACATCCTTGTGAGCTTTTCTAAAACTAAATTAATATATTCCTGTTTCTTCACCTGAAACTTTAAATACTATATTTTGTGGTGACGAGATCTGAACACAAATATCATGCAAGTATTTGCTTACCTTGGTAGTTGAGTCCATTCTTCAGCTGTACTAAAGCACAGTGTATAGTTTCAAGGTGATTATTTTGTCACTGTGACGCATATGTGTGTTTTCTCTTAGATGTTTTTAGAACCATTTTTAGAGTGGTTTTTTTTTATTTTATTTTATATCATACTCTAAAATCTTACGTAGCTTTTACAGAAGCCATATGTAATTTGAGGGATTCTGAAGTCTGAAGACTTCCACTGCGTAACTTTTTTATGAGTAATAAGGGTAGTACATTCTAGTCCAAATGGTGTTTTCGTAGATTTAGTATAATTTAAAAGTTCTTAACTTAAATCTGCGGATGTTGTCCGAGTCATTCTGGGGAGTTATACCCTCTTGATAATGGGGAGGGAGTTGGTATTTTGGTGGCTGTAAAGATGGTACCATGTGAGGCAGTCTTACTGACCTAGAATACTTCTCTTGGGAGGTAAGTGATCCTGAAGGTGCTGTCCATAACTGAGGTGAAGGTAAAGTCCTGCACTCGCGAACAGGTGCTTTGCGAGGTTTCAGGACATCCAGGTCCACATCCACCTGACTTAACTGGGAGTTTCTCTGAAACATCTCAGACTGTGATCCAGGAATCTTCCTGTGATACTTGCAAAACCAGTAAACCAGTATTACCAGAACCACCCCAACAGTGACACAAAGACTGCTTAGTAAGGCAGATGGGGTCTTCCCAACTGTGGAGTCATTTTTGTTTTGAAGTGTAGGCACAGTACTATTGAAAGACCCATCGAATGGCTTTGTATTTGGAAAGCAGACTTCACTATATGAAATGTTGAAAATTACATCAATTTTGTATTCTGGCAACATTGCTTGGAGAAAGTGTGGGCTAACATACCCATCTGACACTCTTAATTTTAATAGTGCTTCCTGGATTTCACCTTTTGCACACCAGCTGGAAGATCGGTTGACATTTGTACACAGTGAACTGTTATACCATGAGATTACTGTGGACCCAGGTTTGAGAGCTGTCACAATGATGTCTTTAGGACTGCTGGAGTTCAAATAGAGGGAGAGCTTCTCTAGAAACAGACTAATCCTTTTCCTCTCTCTCAGGAAAGAGTAGTAGCTATTTTTTGTTCTGATGGTGTAAAGGTGGCACGGTACAATTGTGGGCTTCAGAAGCTCGATGGTGAAGAATTCCCAGGCAGCCAGTCCTCCTAAATCTGTGGCAGACAGCACAAACTCTTGAGGCGAATACTGGAAATCAATGTCGAGGGGATAGCCATGCATGGTTTGCCAAGAGGCGTTAAATTGCAGCCAGCTTTCTGATCCCAATGGAGAGCCGTCAGCCTCAATGACTTGTAGAGATAACTGAGTGGAGTTGCCATCTTCCTCATCATAAAACGTGTTGGCAGGTATAGGAAAAAAGAAGAGGCATCCGATAGTTGCTGTTAAGAATTTAATGGAATGAACAACCTTTGGGGAAGTGTTTGCTTGCCCTTTAGAGAAGAGGAAGAAAAGGAAAGAATTATGAGGAAAAACAGCAATCTGATACTGAATGATAGAAAAGAAATCTTGTCAGCCTCATAGGATTATGGAGTATGTTGGCTAGAAGGGACCTCTGGAGGTCATCTTGCCAACTTCCTGCTCAAAGCAGAGCTGCAGCCAAGACAAAATGAGATCAAGCATGGCTTTGTCTACCTGAGTCTTAAAATAAGTGTTATGTTGCTCTCGATGCCTTTTGGGAAGCTACTTCTTAGGAATTTTATTGAGGGTCAACAGAACTCTCCACTGCTTTTCTTACATTATTTCCCTTTGTGATAGACATTGCAAATCATTCTTTCCTACGGAGCGAGTAACTGAGCACAACCACTTAACTACGGCATCATTTTGGAAGATGATTTGAAGATTTTTTTAAAAAATAGTTTCTCTGACTGCATTAAGATGGAGATGTGTTGGTAATCTAGAGTTTCTGTAGCATCCTTGAATGGGGATCACATACTAGTCTTTGGGAGACTTGGACTGAAGCTGCATAGGTGATAACTCTAAAATCCAATAAAGCACTCTGTTTTGTTTAATCTTTAATCTTCCCAAACACTAATACCTTATTCTAGTAACTTTATCACAATATCACAGTAGGCCTCTCAGGTGATGCATGTACTTCATGGTGGCAATTAAGTATGTCTTATTTGTAATGCTTTAAATATTGGAGAATACAGATAGTGTTCATTCCTATTATTGCAAAGTTCTAGCTTGATTTTTTTCTTTTTTGCATTTTGTAACACAGAAAGCTTATGTAAACTTCAAGGCCCTTCCTTGTATGATTAGATGGTCTAGTGAAATCCAAGTTTGGATGACAGTCCAAAGCTGCCCTGCAGGAGAGTGCCTGGTACTGTGATGCTTTACCTATCAAAGACTAGCACAGATAGTGCCTCATTGGCAGGGCTGTTATCAGGCATTACCTTGATTTGCCTGTATTCGCAACATTAAGTTTGCAGGAACCCCTGGGAGTGTTCTTGCACAAGTGAGATCCTCAGTGCATAAGCTCATGATTAGGTTTCCACATGAAGTGTCCTCTTGGGAAACAGGCACATTTCCTGAAGAAACAACTCTTAATTCTGCAAAGAATCAATCCCAGCCCTGATGTCCAAGTGCTTCATCATCAGATTCTGAAATGGAGCTCATGTATGAGGTAATTATTAAAACATGTTACTGTTTCATCGTCTATTTCCAACACTAATTATAGATTTAATTTGTTGGGGGATTTTATGAGAATATGATTGGTTTTTCTTTATACCATTGAGGTGCGTTTAGCATTGAGAATAATTTCGGATTAATCAGGCAAGCACTGGGTGTCTCAGCATCGCTCCACTTCTGGAAGTGGCAGACACCCTGCCTGGAACAGGATTACTTTGTGAGTGCTGTGCATCTGCCCAGTTTGAAGAGCTCCTATGAATATGTCAGTGGGCACCAAGTAAGTTATAGGATGATAAAATGTGGTGGAAATTTTGAAAGGAATTCTCTCCTTTAGGTGAAATTTGCTGGCAGGTTCAAGGAGTAAGGGAGAAGATAGGACAGAGGGAGTTCCAACTTGAGACAAAAACATTCTTCCTGCCATTTCTGGATCTTATTTATTTATGTTTTCTACACTTCAGGATAGGGGCCAATTTGCAAGATTGAGTGAAATAATGGCCTAGTCTTACACTCCTTATGTATTACCTAATGATAGTAATAAGGAGGGACTAATTCAGAAGGATACAATTCTTTAGGTCATAGTAGTTTGAGGACTGCATGGGTTCTAGTATAGGAAATGAGAGATGCCTTGCAAGATGGATAAAAAGGTTGATGGCAGCTGTGTTCGGAAGTAAGAACAGGAGTAAAATTCTTTTTACCTGGGGTTATATCCTGAAGCTCTTGTGAAACAGCAAATGGAGGAAGAATCCGTGCACTTTCCACAGACTGTAGTCTTTCAGATGTGGGAAACAGCAAGGTGCTTGGATCCTGGTGTGATGGTAGTAGTGTCTGAACCACCTCTGTGAAATGAGATTATTACAGTTTAAGATGAAAGACTTTAGTTTTATGTAAAAGGGGTCTTACATTAATAATTTGCTATGGGGTTGGGAATGTAGTTTAAAGGTTTTTATGGCATGTGATTGAAAACTCTTTGCCAGCATCTGCCAGCATGGCAGCATGAACCTCCTGTTCAGAAAACGGGGGAAATCTTTACCCAAGTGGCTTCTCTTACTGGAGCAGAATGATATTTTGTAACATCTCTAGATGGCCTCTGTTTACAAGAGTGATAGTAACAGTATCGTGTTAGGACTGTTATCCATTTGTGGGCTTTGATAGATGATTGCGTGGACACCTCATTGCAAACCTAAATAACCTAAAAAACCCATAACCTAAGTTGCGTTATGGGTATATACTTAACATAGGTCTAGTAAAGCTTTGCAAAGAAGATGGTTCAGAAGAGCATTAACAAGGTCAATGAGTTAAAAATAGGAGCAGTCAGGTCACTCTAGAATGAAGGAGTAGTTTGGCTCTGAATGCTGCGCTTGGTACACACGATAGATCTTAAATACTTTTTTAGAGATGTAATATAAGCTGATTCAGACATAATCCTGCAAACTTACCCAACTGATCCTACAAATTTACCGTCTCGGTAGTCTAGTATATATGTAAGCCTGAGTCAGATACATGCTGTTGGATGAGAGCGTGG